GGGCAGGAAGGGTGTGGGTGCCTGCTGGCACGTCGAGCTCGGAGCTGAGCGTGCTGTCTCAGGGAGCAGAGTAAACATGTGCTGTGGGGACTAAATAGCATGCAACATCCCTGCCAGCAGGGAAGGTAAACAGATGACTGTCTTGTGCCATTAAATACGTGGGATCTGGAGAGAGGCAGGTCAGTTTTGGGCTGCTCTTCAGAGAAAGCTGATCTTTTCTTCAGAGACGGTGGTGAGTTTTGAAGCAGTAGTTCTGAAACCAGAGCTGGATTTCTAAGCCAAGAGCACTTTGTTCTCAGCAAAGGCTGGCAGTGCCTAAACTCCACGAAGACACACAAGCAGCCTCTCTTAAACCATTTAAGCCCTCTTAACTGGGCCCACATCCACAGAGGTGTGGGGGCACCTGTGTCCCCCCAGCCCAAAGCTAAAGGAGCCCAAAGCTGCTCAGCCTGGGCTGGGTGTCCTGGGTGTGTGCAGAAGCAGGACTTTGTCCTGTAGGCTCTGGCAGTGATCGGTGCCAGAGCTGGGCTGTTGCTGAGCCAAGACCCCGGGCACTTGGGGATGCCTGCAGCTTGTCTAACTAGCAAGTGCTCTGCATGCATGGAGTCCAGCTGGCTTGTCTGGGAGGGCACTGTGTGTCATCAAAGTGTGCCTTAATGTCTGGGCAGAGAGGCTCTGAGGCTGGCATTGCCCTGCTTGGATTGCTTCCCTGTGGGACTGCACACTCAGAGCTTGCACACAGAGTCACAGAATGGTTTGGGCTAGAAGGGACCCCAAAGTTCCAACCCCCCTGCCAAGGGCAGGGATGCCACTGACTAGATCAGGTTGCTCAAAGCCCCATCCAACCTGGCCCTGAACACTTCCAGGGATGGAGCATCCACAGTTTCTCTGGCAATCTGTGCCAGGGCCTCACCACCCTCTGAGTAAAGAATTTCTTCCCAGCATCTAATCTAAATCTCTCCTCTTTTACTTTAAAAGCACTCCCAGTTGCCCTATCGCTCTCTGCCTGCATAAAAACTTGCTCTCTCTTTTTCTGTAAGCCTCTTTAGGTACTGAAGGCTGCTCTAAGGTCTCCACAAAGCCTTCCCTGCTTCAGGCTGAACGGGCCCAACTCTCTCAGCCTGCCTCCATAGCAGAGGTGCTCCAGCCCTTGGATCATCTCCGTGGCTTCTTCTGGTTCTGCTCTGACAGGTCCACGTCATTCCTGTGCTGAGGACCCCAGGCTGGGTGCAGTACTGCAGGTGGGGTCTCGTGAGGGCAGAGGGGGGGAATCACCTCCCTCAACAGGTCTGATGTGTGAATTTTCGTATTTTTTTTATTTTTATTGTTCCCCCCCCAGCCCCCTTCCCTTGTGGCACATGTGGGTATTTGAGACCCCCAAGTGGGACCGTCCTCCCTTCTGTCCCTCTAAAACACTTCTGATGGGTAACTGCACGCCAGGGTTGCACGTGGCTCTGAACAACATCCTGAATTGTAGCTGGAGACCCAGTAATTGAGTTGCTCCTGTTCCTTCAGATGGTGAGCGTGACCAGCTGTTGTTATGCAGTCTCTCCTCCAGTCCTTCTGGGAAATCACACCGTGATTATATTTCTGGCTTAAGAAACTTTTTTCCCCTAATCAGACTGGGCCTCACAAAGAGGTTGCCACTTAGTGGTAATTACTTGCTTTAGAAGCTGAATGTCTCCTGAGGATTGCAAATAGCGGATTATCAAATTAATTAGTTAAACCAAGATGTGCTTTTGTGAAGCCGAGACCTGCTTTGCTTGTGATCTGAAATAAAGGTTTAAATGTCATTAAACTGCATACAACTGGCTCTTGTCTCCCTAATGGGGAGAGAGCCGTTTCTTTCCTGAAACGTTGTCGGTGCAAAGGGCTGCTTTCAGCTCTACTTGCTGCAGCTCTTGTTGCTTTTCTTTCACAACCACGTGTTTTGAGCAGAATCTAATCACTGGTTTTAAGGAACCTGCTTGTGTTTATTTGGGTCTAATGCTTCTTCTTGGTGGCTTCCCATGCTTTTGTAGGCAACCTCCATAGGGCTGGGCTTGGACTTTGATCCTGGTGGGTCCCTTCCAGGTGAGGATATTGTGTGAGGGTTCATGGTGGATAGCTTGGTGGGATTGTAATGTACCTTCCTTCAAACTGTACTTTCAGGGCACAGCTTAGTCCATGGGTATCTGCATTGCCACCTCTGTGGACACGGGAGCTGGCAGAGAACCCCGGTCTGGTGATGAGATTCATCTGGAAGTAGATCCAGAGGCATCCACTGTTCTGTGGGTTAGCAGGAGCTGCAGGTCCTGGAGTACTGCTTTGCCACAGCCTGCTCCCAGGCTCTCCTTTCCCTCTGGAAGTCCCTGTGGCCGTAGGAAGTTCCCTGTGCTGAGGACAGCACCAGTGATCAGGCTAAATTGAAGTGGAGCTCATGGTGGTATTTTCCTAAGAGCTGTTGGCCACTGTAGTGTAATCATCCCGCTAACATGCATATTGCACAACTTCCCCTAGGTCAGGAGATGTCCTTATCTGGCATCTAAAACATCTGTCCTGTGTTTCTTCCAGCATAGCTGAATCCTATTCATAAAAGAATTGAGCGTTTCCTGATTTGCACAACTGAAAATAAGCAGAACTCTGCTAGTGTTGACTCAAAGGCAGAGGTCCTTTCCCTGCCTCCCACCTCTGTCTGCGCTCTCTCCCAGCTCCTGTGGGGCTCTGGGTTGTGGTGCTGCTTCAGGCTCTTGAGAAATACTGCAGCACCAGAAACCAGATCAAGAAAAGGGGAGAGGGACAGAGGGGAAAGAGATGAGGGTCTGAAGTTTTCAGAACAGTTTTTGTACTGACCCCTCTCCCACCTCCTTCTCTTTCAACCCTGGGGAGGCCCCACAGCCTTCAAAGTTTGGCTCCCCATCCCTCCTGATGTCAGCAGCTGCTGCCTTGTGCTGTATTGCACCTCTGGGGCAGACTGTGCTTAGCAATACTGAGCAGCTGCCCAAGGTGGGTACCAAAGAGGTTCCCAGAGTGTAAAATTGCCCCCTCAGCCCATAGAAAAGACCTGGGTTTGGTGGATGGGAAGCTGGAGCACCCAGATCTCTGCCAGGGTGGATGACAGCAGCCTTTTGCAGTGGCTTCAGCAATCAAACCCACCCTGAGGAAAGCGCAGGCCTCGCACGAGGGCGAGGACAAAGTGTGAGACTGTGCTGGGGAACAAGCACAGCATTGTTGTCAGCCTCAGTCAAGAGGGGCTTTTTAACACCCACTGGAGTGCTGGCTACAGCTGTCCCCCATGTGCTTGTGTGGGAAATGGTTCTACAGTGCAGGAGAAGAGGGAAAGGCCACTTTGCAATTAAAAAAAAAAAAAGCTTATTAGGATGCAGCCACGAGTAAACAGCAGTGAGATGTTCCCCTCAGTGCTGGGCCACGGCACAGGAAATCACGTCACTGCCTCCAACTGTGATGGGGGTGAGCTGAACTCGGGCTCCTCAGCCTGGAAATCCGTATGGGGGAAGGTGCTCCGGAGCTTTCCTTGAGTGCAGTGTAGGAATGGGAGGAGGTGGGAGGTTGGGCTCCAAGCTTCTCCTGCGTTCAACAGCCCGTTCCCCCTCTGCCCCTATAAATGTATGCCTGCAGCACCAACTTCCTGCATCCTCCTGAGTGGTGTTGGCTTGGGAGCCTGTGGAGAGCTTTCAGCTGTCATGGAAAATGGGATATACTTCCATGGTGCCAGTGTAGCCTCGTGCAGATGGTGAAAGCTGTGGTCAGAGGCTCTGAGAGCCACGTTCCTCAGCCTCCTGCTATGACTGTGACGGAGAAAGAAAGGCTCTCCTGCATCCACAGAGAGGATCTAAGATCTCAAGTGAGTTATTACAGATGACAACAACTGGGTGGTGCCTGTGCTGGGTTGATAATACCCGTTGCAGTGGCAGGGATGCTCTCCTTCACCCAGTTTGGGATTAGCAGTTGCTGCCTGCAGAGGCAGTGCTCTGCTGCTGTGGGGAGGGGACTGGCTGTTCTAGGCCACGGGGCAGCCTCTGCAGGCACAGGGTGTTTGCAGGCCAAGTGCTGACAGAGAGGCAGCTGCTCAGCTCTGGGCACTGTCAGTGCCACAGCCCCGTTTAGGAGGACGCTGCTTTTTCCTTAAGGAGGGCAAACTGCAAACCTGCAGGGACTGTGCTTGCTGCCCACAGGAAATGCAGCAGCACACCAAGCAGGGGTGGATTGAAGGGTTGGCCTTGGGGCTGCTCAGACTCTCAGTTGCTGGTTAGGTCTGGAAATGTGCTGTGAGGCCATCAAGTGCAAGGAGGTTTTAGGGCCAAGTGTTGGCAGTCCCCCCTGGGAAAGGAGTATCCAAACGTGGTCTTGAGCTGGACCAGCCTGCATGGGCTCTGCTGCTGGCCCCGTGGAGCAGGGCTGGGGAAGGCTGTGGGGATCTGCCCCCTGAGCCAAGGCAGCAGAGGTGCTGGTACAAGTCACTCCAGCTTCATCAGGCAAGTACCCTGTGCTGCTCTGCTGAGCTTGTCCATGCAGGAGATGTTTCCCCTCCTGCTGTAGATTTGAGTAACTCCTCCTCTTGGGATGGACTGGTTTGTGTAACCCCTCCCAGAAGTGGGGGACAACCAAGGATTCCTTGATGAAGGGTCAGTCCCCACTGAGGCTGCCAAAATCATGCACCACTTGGTCTGGGGAACAGTTTCTGGTCCCAGGCCCTGCACCTCCATGCCCAGGGCTCCGAGGTTTTGCCAGTGTGTCACTTCCCGCCCTGCTTCCCGTTACACAAAGCCTTTGTTTGTCAGCAGATCCTGGGATGCCCCGCGGCACCTGCCTCTCTCCTCCCTCTCCGCCTCTGTGGCTCTGCCCTTTCCCGTTGTCACTTCTGTAGGCTGCTGCCTGCCTGTTTGGTGACCTTCCCCAGTGTTCGGGCACTGCTTTTGGCCCCTGGCCATCTTAAACAATTAATGGAGGGGTGGAGAAACTTGCCGTGTTAAATTACTTCCTCCTTTGGGAGGGGGTGAGGTCTCCACAACCTCTCTCCCGATCCCAATGCAGTTTGTTGCTGTTGCCTGAAGCGGTCACTGCTCTCTGTTTTCCTTCTAGAAGTTAGAAAAACAGTATTTCAGAGCGCTCTCTCCGTGTTCCTCGTCGTTTTGCTTAACCTGCAGCGCTGCCTCGGGATCTCGCGGAGCGGAGAAACTTCTCCGGACTTAAGAGAAAAACAAGCCAAGAGGAGGCGGCGGGCGTGGTGGTGGCGAGGGGGGGAGCATTTTGCTGGAAACCCCTTCGGGAAGCTGGAGACCTTCTCGGGATGCCTGCCGTGGGCTTGTTCTCCTCTCGCAGCTCTTCAGATCTTCCCGGGCGAGGGCAGCTCCCTGCCACGACGCGCCTGCACTAAGCGGGTCTGTGCGGAGCTCCGAGGGCCGTGGATGTCGGCGATGCCGTAAGGAGCAGCCCGGCAGCGCCTCTGGCTCTGCCCGTGTCCCCGAGGTCCCCGCAGGGCCGGGGGAAGCGGCACCCCGCTCCCGCTATGCCCCTCTGCCGTCCAGCGCTGGAGTTGGCTGTCAGAGAAACCTTCGAGGTCCCCTGCTCGGCCCCGGTAGTGTCATGAGTTAGATTAGTTGGAGCTGTGCTGGGGGCGGTGAGGGCTTGGATTACAGTCCAGAACTCAAAGTGCTTCGGTGGTTCACGTCGGAGGGGAGAGGAGACGCCCCGTCGCACACATGGAGGAAAAGGAGAAAAAACGCTGCCTCTGGAAGTGAGGGGCGATAAAGGAGGCCGGGAACATGGTAAGGAAATCTCTGCGAAGGGCTCTTGCCCTGGGCACGAGCAGGGCTGTGCGGGATGGAGCCGCTCCCGGGGCAGCCTCCCTGGAGCAGCGCACGGCGCCAATGCCGGGAGCGGGAAGCGGCTCCTTTGGCACTGCCCGTTCCTCGGGTGGTTCCCCTTGGTGCCAGTCCCGAGCGGTGGCATCGGGGACACGGAGCTCTTGCTGGCACTGACCCCCTGAGAGGTGCCTGCCAGGGTGCAGCGCTGGAGCAGGAGCTGCGATGGGGCAGGTCAGGCAGGGCCCTGCCTTTGGGGCTGCCTGGGTGCTGGGCTCTCCTCCTGCCCTCGCTCTTTGCCAGTCCTGCTCTGGGGCTGCGGGCACTGCCCCACTGCAGAGCCTGGGGAAGGGGAGAACATCGGCTTCTCCTGCTCAGGGTGGGCATCTGGGGGATCAGAGAGCCCCTGGAGCCGGGCAGAGCCTCTTCCCTTCCAGTGCCAGGTTCTGCACGTGGAGATCCTTGCCTGGGGAGGGGTGAGGCTGGTGAGCCCAGCAGGCAGCAGAGTACCCAATCTCCCTGGGAGTGGCTGCAGGGCTGTCCCCTGCCCAGCCACGCTGGTGCTGCCCTGCAAACAGAGGTGCCCAGCCCTGGGCTGGCAGAGGCTGGAGGGATTGCTGGCCCTGTAGTGAGATCCTAATGGGCACCAGCCTGGCTTCTGACCATGGTTTGCTCCTGGGCTCAGGCTCGGGCCCTGCAGTCCTGAATGTCCTGGAGGTGACCTGCTGTGTCATGGGCTGCTTCCCCACAGCAGGGGGAACAAAGTCCGTGAGGGGCACAAGCAGCTTGCATTGCTGCTGTGCCTGGCAGTGACTTGCTCTTTCTTAAAAGTTCAGCTTCTGGGCCTGGAGAAGCTTGGCTTTCATTGAAGGATGTGTTGACCAACTTCTGGCTTCTGCAACCTGAGCTAACCTTGTAGACCCATGTCTTTTCCCTTTGCCACCCTCCAGCTACCCTGCAGAGGATTCTGTGGTGCTCTGTACCCTCATGTGCCAGTGTTAGAGCCATGGTGTGCTCTCTTCTCCCATCCTGCCATGGAGGCCTGCAGGCATCTCACTTCTTCCACTTCTCCATCCCCATCCCCATCAGGAGACCTCTTTCCATCCCCCCATGCCTTGTGTGTTCCTGGCAGGTTTTGGTCTGTGCTGGTTAGTGTATGAAGTTGAAATCAAAGGACAGCACTGTTTGGGGCTGTGCAGGGTGGAGGCCATCCCTTGCAGTCCCATGGGCTGTATTTTGCCACGAGGGCTGGAGCAGCACTTGTGAAACTCTGCTCTGGGAGGCCTGAGGCAGAGACCAGCTGCTGCTCCCTGCTCCTGCAAGCTGGAGGTGACTTTCTGATTCCCAAGTGCTTCATCCCCAGTTCAGGTCCTCCTTCATGTTGTCCTAATGAGTGATGCAAATGCTGTCTGAAGCAGGGTCTTTTGTGTGGAGCAGTGCCACAGCCAGTCTAGGTGCCATGGTGGGTTGTGGGCGTGCAGGGACCACGGATCACTGCTGAGGAGGGACCATGTGCCCCAGGTGCTCAGAGCAGCTGGAAGGAGCAGGAACCAAGAGGTCAAGCTGCCACAGACCCAGCAATGGGTGCTGGCCACGCTGCAGACACTTGTGGTCCATGGCAGATGTTTGTTCTCAGTGCTGTGTAGACCAGTCTGCATTTTGGGAGACGCATTTCTCTGAGCAACCAAGTTGTGACTGCAGCTCCAAGCTGTTCTGTTTGAGGTTTTGATGTCCTGGTGAATCAAACAAACCCTGCAGGCAAAAAATACGGATCTCAGTGGCTGTGTTTCAGTCTGCTGGCCTGCAAGAGACTTTCCCCATTGGCTCCAGCAGTCTGCAGGACACTTGGAGGCTTGGCTCCTGATGGAGGTCTGGCAAGGCACAGCTGCTGGCTGCCCTGCTCTGTGTGAGGCAGGTGACTCCTCTTCCCAGGATTTCAATATTAGGGCTGATGTGGTGTGTGAAAGAGTGCACAGGGTTGTGGCAGCTGGAGGATGCCTAAAGCACCAAATGGGGTGAGGGACCTTGGGCCAAAGTAGCCCACTTCTACTAGAAGTGACTTTTGCAGCTGTGGAAACCCCGTGGTGTGAGCAAAGCAGGAGCCTGGCCGGGCTCTCTCTACCTTGCTCGTCCCATCGTGGCTTTTGTGACTGGGGATCTGCCCTCATTCCCTGGGAGGGAATGGGAGAGAGAAAGGGCTTCACCTCACCTGGTGCTTCCTGCAGAGAAGTTCAGGTGGCACCTGTGTGCTGGCAGGAGAGAGGATGGGTTTCAGCAGAAAAGAGGGTCTTTCTTTTATCCCCTGGTTATGTCTTCTCCCAGGGTGGGAAGGAAATGAGTCTGGGAATCACAAAGAGCTTTAAGCATTGGGGATCTTCTTTCTTTATTTCTGTGCCAAAGCCATGAGTAAGATGTTGGAACGCAGACAAAGTCCAGACACATAATCCTGAGCACATGGAAGCGGTTTGAAAGCACCTCCTCTGGGGTAACAGGGATGACAACTTGCGTTTTGCCCAGCTTCTTTCCAAAAGCACTGGGGCAGGTGAATGTGCTGCTCACTGTGGCAATAAAAACAATGGCTAAATGCAGGTGACAGGCCAGCTGCATCCAGGTATCTCCACCCAGGAATCACCACATGTGTTCTGGTACCACGTGGGAATGCCAGACAGTGAGTGCTCGTGGTGAGATGGGGGCATGCCCTGCTAGCAGAAGAGATCATAGTGTGAGAGCCTTGTCAGCATCTTGCAGCTGGTCACTTCAGACATGACAGCCAGCGTGTCTGCCTCTAAATACCAGAGCACAGGCACAGCCACTCAGCTCATGGAGCCCCATTTTCTGGTTTCATCTCAAACACGGCCCTGTCTGCAACCGATCCGTGCCAAACTTGAACCATCCTACGGGCTGTGTGCCTACACCTGAGCAGCGGGGCCGAGTGTGGGTGGAAGTCACATCACAGGGGCTGCAGGTCCCTTTAGCACCCAAGTGCTGAAAAAGATCTCTGTTAAAACAGTTGTGTCTTCTGTGGAAACTATAAATGAACCCACCTGTGGGCACTCATAGAAGAGCACCTTTGGTTCACATTCCTGGCTTCCTTCCCACGAGGGAACCCCCTGTTGCAGTCCTGCAGAGTTCAGTGTCTCCAAGGCCTGGAAAAGGGAGTAGCAGCACCAGGATCAGACTTGTTGCTGCCTGAACAGCAACATAAAGCAAGGAGAGGCTGCTGGACTAAGCTGCTCAGCTCTGGCCATGGGATGCTCTGTACTTTCTGCACCACTCCTGGCACCGGGGTTGCAGCTCAGAGAAGTGAGTGGACATGCCCTCGTTGACTCTGAAGGTTTGGCCATGCTAATTCCTCTCTGCCACACCGAGTGCCTCATCTCTGTTGGCTGGCCTAGCCTTTCATTAAAGAATTAACAGAAAAATGGGGCCTTTCTTGTGGTGAGTGCTCCTGGCTGGTTTCGTACGTATCCCATTTTTTGCATCATTGGACACCACGCTGAAACTTCCAAGATCAAAGCAGCACAGGACGAATCTGAAAGTCTTTTCTGTCTGCTCAAATTTACCATTCTGCCATCAGGCTGGGAAGCCCAGGATGAACCCTTGCTCCAGCTGGTGCAACCAGACTTTTTTTTTGAATAGAATCAAATGGCTCAGCTGAAGAGGAGCGGGGACCAGGTGAAGACTGGCACGTGCTCCTCCTGGACACTGGTGGGTGTGGTAGGGAGGGGCCTCCATGGGGCCTTATGGTCACCTCTGGTGGGATGTGGTGCTGTGGGCCCACGGTGGTTTATGTGGTGGTGCAGGGGAGGAAAGTTCTGGTGACCTGAGCTAGGTGTCCGCCTTGAGCTTTGCAGCCTGCCTGGGGTGGGGCAGAGGCTTCCTGAGCAGGTTCCTCCAGGAGGAGGAGACCTTCCCTGAGGCTGCCTGTCAGATCTCAGTGCCTCCCAACACAAACCCGGGCGCTGCTGAGCCTCCAACGTGGTTAAAGGATGTGGGTTGTTTGCTGTCTGTTGTCATCTTGCTGAATACATTTACCTTTTGAACAAGGTCCCTCTCATATGCTCAGGAGGCTGGTATGCAGACCCGTTAATGGATCAAGGGGAAAAATGCCTGTGGATGTATTCTCCTTTGTGTTTGGGCTTATAACCACCCACGTTTTGGCATGCATCCCTTCTGTGCACAAAGATCTTTTAGAAATTGCTAGTTAAATCTCCACCCTCCTTTGATATGTATGGAAATAATGGGACACGTGAGACTGTTTTCTGTTTGGGAAAAAAAAAAAAAAAGCTATAAAGGGAGTAGCTTTAAAAGCCTGTGTTCACCCCTTTCTAACTCAGGAGTTTAGTAAAAGCAGTGAATTTCTGACTGATTTACTCAGCTTTCCGGCAGGCATGCATTTAGTGCTGTACCCAAAATAGAGGGGAAATGGTTTCATCTGACTCTGCCCCAGGCTTGGCTGCTCAGGGGCAGGAGAGCTTGAGCACGTGTGTCTCTGTACCCGGTGAGCTTGGAGAGTCTTGGAGCAAATCTGGGTGTCTCTAACCAGGAGCACTTCATGATGCTTCATGGCTGATCTGGCATAGCCATGGACATCTCTGGGCTGCCTGCTCTGTCCTTCTGGCTTATCTGCCTCTTCCTCAGAGGTGGCATCTGGTCACTGCTGCTGGCTCCTTTCTCACATCAGGGGTGTGCAGGAATGTTCTCCTCCAAGGAATGTGCAGGGATGTTCTCCTCCAAGGAAGGTCCTTCTGCACTCACTGTTTTCTCTTGCTGGCCCCTCCTGGAGTGGCAGCTCTGCTTCGGAGCAGTTTCTGTTCCCCTCTGACATAACAGGACTTGTATTTCATTAGCACATGGTAATACAGTGTGTTGAAGGCCAAAAGGAACCACGGCTCATCTGTTATGGGATGCTGGGACTGTAGACTGTTTCCTGGCTCCCACATTCACTCTGGGAGCTCTTTAAC